AAACTCCTCACTCTGGTGAATGCACTGGGTTGATCAACGGCACCGCTGGGAAAGGTATGTTGTTAACGGTTAAGTGTATAACTAAAATCCGTTCTGACTTTGTCGTCGTCGGCCTTAGAGTCTAAGACGATATGTATCCCGCTCTCGGATCTCGTTCCAGTCCTGTATTCCTTGGATGCTTTCCCTGTGGTTCACATACTCGATGATGTCGGCTGTTTTAAGCAACGGAGGGAATTCGACCATGATCTGCTGGCGGATGTTTCTTGCGGTAATCGGGTCCTGTTGGTTGTTATTTTTGTTGTCGTTATTGGTGTCGGACTCTCCAAAGTCAGCGTCGCCTGGGGGAGCTGCATGTGCCATATCTGGAATCAGCTGCGGTCTATGTGAGCTGACAAAATGCAAGGGGACCTTAAGGTAAGCCAGCTTCTCGAGTTCCGGTAGGCAAGTTAACATGCGGCTGGGACCAAAGCGATCCGTCATTTGGTCTTCGTCGATAGGTTCCATGTAGCCGCTCATGGAGAGATGCTCAAGCGTGTCTTTGAACAAGGGCAGAATCGTGTTCCAGGTGTGATCACTTTCAAGACCCAGTGTCTCGTCGTAGCCGTTGATCTCAAGTCTCTTTAGTCGCGGCTTCATGCAGAACCAGTCGAACAGGCTGCCCAGACACATTGCCGCGTCGTCCAGCCCTCTCACCTCCAAGGGATCAAACCCTTTGAGGGTAAGGCTCTGCACAGTGGACAGGCATGGGTGCCAGTTATGAGAATAGCCGGTTTCAGGACTTCCAAAGAGTACCTGAAGGACGGAAAGATCGAGGCTGAGTGTCGTGATCGGTGGACTGTGATATAGGAAAAGCTTTTTCTGGTACTGAAACGGCTGCATCCAGGGTGTCCCCGAGCCGCTGAGGGCAAGTGATTGTAACGATGGGGAGAAATAAACGACGAGTCCAAAGATTGCATCCGTAATATTCCTGAAAGCCTCGGCACTATAAGTAACACCAGCAGCTTCAATTTTCTTACGATATGAATGGTAGGCTTGACGGAGGAAGGCCGTGGCCCAAGGACAGCTCGCTCCTTGTTCCATTATCACGGGTCCAAGTACGTTGACGAACGCAGAAGCATCGGGTTTTGTAAGGGTGACTGTGTCTGTCACCCGACATGTCGTATGGTTCACGCTGTCCCATGTACTTGTGATATTTCACGGCAATATGTCGAATATAGCCGCGGTTCTTGGGGTACAGGAGCAGGCCTTTGCAAAAGTAAACAAGTGTCCGAGGTTTGTCGAGAACAATGTCCTCAAACAGAGCGCGCTGTGCTGGAGCAGCTATGGATTTTGAGACCAGTGATAAGGCACATAGAGACTTCTGGCAGCACCTCCTGCGGTTGCATGGCTGGTGCCTGTCTTCCCATTTTACGTAGTGCGCCCAGCGAGGTGCCGGATGAGAGTTCTTCAATCGGATAAGCTGGCATATGTGTTCCCGTATCTCTAGTGGAAGCCTCTATAGCGGTGATCGTGCTGAAAGGTAGGGGTGTCGGTACGATGTGGTTGATGATGTTGACGTTATTGGAGGCGGTTCGTCGAAGGCTGCTTGGTCATCCTTCGGAGCTTCATGGATGGCAGATAGGACTGGACGCTCACCATCCACTGAGTGGCATAAATGTTAGTGCTTACTGTTTGACACAAGTTAAGGAAACGTATCGTAGTTCCGTGTATTGCAATCGTCTTACCTCCGACTTCTTCTGCTGCTTAGGCAAGACCTTTCGAGCCTTTCCGCAATACGGACAGGGTTCGTGGGTCACATCCATAGCTACTCCCGTTCTGGATCCAATTGCTTATCTTATAACGGCCGGCCGAAAGAGAAGTGGTTTCCTTACGTTGAATATCTAACATCCTGCTAGCGGGGATATGTGTTGACGTGTTCGAGGAAGAAGGCTGAGAGGCACGCCCGACCTGAACGTTAGCGTTGTTCGGCTGACCGACAGCTGGCGCGATGCAACCCTACGATCGCCAGAGGATCACGCTCTTTTCTCGGTCCATTATACGTCAACCGTTAGCAAATGATTCCCAAGATCACCATGGTCTTTAAACGTCGGCTTCAAGGACGCTGCAGGAACAAGTGTCGGAAGAAGGCACTATACTGTCAATCACTCCATTTGAGTGGATATACCGAGGGACGTTGTCGTGACGCTGGTCTTGGCATGTAGCATCGCTCGCTCGGTGTTGAGGGGTAGATGTTGTGTAGAGGCATACCGCTAATTCTCGGTCGATATGGTTTTACTCAACCTGCGTTAAGATCCTGGCAGGCCACGCCTGACATGGCATTTGACCAATCTGCTGGTGAGTTGGTGCGGGCCGCAGGTTTTCTTATTGGTTGAGTAAAACCATGTCGACCGAGAATTAGCGGTAGATCGACTGCTGGTTTTAAGGTGTTGAAGGTATGAGATGGTTGGTATACTCTGTATGATGAGATTGTAAAGTTAGTCCAGGATCTTCAGGTTCAAAACCTTGACAGCTTTACTCTCCCTTTGTCCATTTACCTCGGCTCACCAGCGCTCTCGTCACCCAGAATGGGATCCGAACAGAAGAACTATCATCTTCCGGCAGATGTCGTGTGGTTCAGTATGCCTCCTTGTTGGTCACTTAATGCCAGTCTCCGCTCATAACTGACACTCCAACAGTAACCGGTTGCTCACAAGGCATAGGCCGCGCCTTGTGCGAACTTGTCCTCTCCAAGGGCCACCGTCTGGTTGCCACGGCTCGTAACCCTACCACGGGCCTCTCCTACCTTCCTGGCAGCTCTTGAAGCTTCCCCTGGATGTAACCTCCCGCGCCTCCATCGATACGGCCCTTGAGGCATCCATAGCACACTTTGGCCGTCTTGACGTGGTTGTTAACAACGCCGGACTGTTTATATATGGCATCGCCGAAGGTATGGACGAGGCCGACGGCCTGGCCATGTTCGAGACGAATTTCTAGGGTCCTCTGACCATCACGCGTCGGGCGGTGGAGATTATGCGCGAGGTGAATTCAAAGTATCTGTCGAATGATACCGCCCAGGGAGGCGTGATCCTGAACGTTACGTCGGCTGGTGGGCGCGTAGCATGTGCTGGAGCAGCGTTTTATGATGCTAGCAAAGTCGCACTAGAGGAGTTCACCTAGTGTATGGCCCAGGAATTCAAGCCGGAGTGGAAAATTCATCCAAGTTGCATCCAGCCAGGAGCTGTCAGCACAGGCTTCATTTCTGGAAGGAAAAAGGTTGATGAGCATCCGGCCTACAAAGGGTTTGAAGGGAACTTTTAAGCTGCGGCTAGGTACCTGGATGATCCGAAGGCTTCGGAGAAGTGGAGTACACCCGAGTGCGTGGCGGAAGGTATCTATTTACGGTTAGTTCTGATGGAGAGATCCCGAGGAGGGTGCCTCTGGGAGGAGATGCATGGTCACTCCTCATGATGGACCACAAAAGGACTGGAAGGGAGTTAGCGGCGGGGAAGGAACTAGCAATGAGAGCAGGAAACGCGGCCGCGCAATCGGATTTCATCGATTTGTTTGCGTAGGTTCAGTTTAGTATTTATGTCCAGATACAAAACCAACAACAACGAAAAGTACAACGTAGGGGTATCGTGTAACTTTGCAAGGCTTTGCCAATATCCAATTATGCACCATATATCCTCCATTTCCTCCAGTTCTGTGATGTTTGGTTACCTCGAGGATGTCTCGATAACCCAGTCTTGCGACGCTCTACTCTTCCAAGGCTCAATTGGGTGTCGCGCAGCCAACCGTGTCCACGAGTGCACTACCGATTTCCTCTTTGGATTGATCCTCTAGTCCCTGCCGGTGGGATGTCTGTAGAGGACATACCAGGCGTGGATGATGCCAGGGAACCAGGCCAGGATGGTCAGGAGGATGTTGATCCAGAAGTCGACCTTGAAGCCGCGGTCGAAGAAGACAGCCAGGGGTGGGACGAAGATGGCGAGAATGAAGAGGATGATGTCGGAAGCGCCGAAACGTCTCTGGGTGACGGCCGGGGTGGTGGCTACGGACTTTTCGTTGGCATAGGTACTTGCTGTGGTCGGGCGGTTGCTGGCCGGTGTTGTGCCGGCGGCGGTGGTAGTACCGGTTGTGGTATCGGCTTGAGGGTATGGTGTGCCTGCAGTGTGGTTCGCTTGGGTGGTGAAGGGGGTGCCAGCACCAGCAGTGGCAGCGGTAGGGGCAACGTGATGGGACTTCTCCGTCGACGTGTTGGGGACCGAGGAAGGTGCCGCATATGCTTGTGACATTGAGCTCTGCATCTTGGAGGCTTGGATGTGGGGGTTTCGCAGATATCGGTTAAAGCGACCAAGTATTAGGTGGTAGATTGGTGTGATTTCGGTTCACGCTACTAGGTATCGCGCGTTGGAAAATAAGCAATTAGGTTGGATTATTGTTGATGGTGTGTTGGTGTTGGTGTGGTGGTTTCGGTTCGGTCAAGCTGCGACTTCGGGAATGGGGGCTTCTGCCATATTTCTATCTCCCCGCCAGGCCTTGGCTTGTCAAAGGAACCACTCCATGCGCGTCACAATGGAAGGAGCCATGAGATCACCAGACCAAATTTTTCTTTCCATCACTTCCGTAGTGCGCGACGGTGAACAGGTTCGAAGGAAGGCACAACACAGCTGTTTGTGGCGGATTAGGGGTCCAATGACGTCATAGGTGAGGAAAACGACAGTGTCGATCCTTCCCGTCATTCTCACGTTTTCACGCTACAGTACATCCACCAAAGTCATCCACCATTGCCGACAGCCTCATTGGCTCTTGCCCTTCTTGACTGATGAGCCTTTGATCATTCCTTCCATTGCCGCGGTTGATTTGGCGGGGCATCGACAACTGAACTGAAGACAAAGTGCATGATTGTCAGTGACGACCAACGCGCCTTCCGTGCTTTCCATGTCACAACGCGAAAACCACAGGGGAAGCGTTCTTTCTGTCGAACTCTCGAAATTACTAAAACACTTCCGTTATCAAGTGGGAGGTGTACTGTGTAGATTGACCTCTGGCCACAAGCCTCCTGTTGAAAATCCTCTCGGCACGCACCTCGGCATCATCATCGTCTTCACAGTCCAGAAACAACAAGCATCAAGTCCTGCATCAGCCCGTGGGTTTCGCAGCATGGCATATGCCTTGCAACTCACCAACCAGACCTCTAATAACAATTCGTGCCGTTTCAACTCTCATGTTACACAACTCACCCAACGAAATGTCTTCCGAGTGTCACCGCAGACAAGATCCTCCCCAGGCATGGCAACAGTTAGGCAGGCAACTTACCAGATACGATGAAGCACCGAAAGTCTCACCGTTCGTGGAAGTGGTAGGTGAAGAGAAAATCATAAAGAGATCTTGGATGATAGGTTCTATGAGAGACGTGCGCTGGGACCTTTCTCATAAATACTTGAGTTTGACCCATAAGCCCATTCGATTCCCGCTTTTTGCCGCAGTCTCAACACAATAGGACCACGAAATCTGAGCCCGAGCTTTCCATCAGCCAACGAGATGGCGTCCAACCCAACTTATTCACTTTGTTCCCTCCTGAATATTTCATGTACTGCATTGATGGCTCTGGTTCTGTCTCTTCTCAAGTCACGGTGTCAACGCAAAACCCGCTCAGTCGCAAACTGTCGAACACCTTGACCTCATTGTTACGATCCAACCAAAGTTATATAAGCTAGCTAGATAAATAGACCAATCAGGTTGGATGTCACACGGACATCTGCCTACACTCCTGAGTTTGAAGTTCAATAGAGCCTCAATGCTTGACATCAACCCAACCTCGCTATACAATGCCAGCCTTGCCTCGGCCAGACTATTCGGGCAATAGGCACGGCTTACCCGAATCCCTCAACGCCACCAGGCTAAACGAGCCAACCCCAGAACTGCTGACGGCGCTAAACATCATCACAAAGCCACCTTATCATCACAGGAGTAATTACGGCCAACCAAGCAGAAGCAGAGCGCCAGGGCAAAGGCCGGCGCCAGAAGGAAGAAGGAGAATGGATGAAGGCATTCAAAAAGATCCACATATATACAAGTCGCTAGATAAATGCCTTGGAGCCTCAGGCGACAAGAACCGGTACCTACCCCAGTACGTACCATTTCTCTTTGGCATAAGAAGGTCTTGAAG